CTTCATAGCCCCATCAGCGACCAAATGCTGGAATGGCGCCTGGGCTTCTGGAGCCAGGTGAAGTAGCCCTATGGTGTTGTGGACCTGAGCTACCTGGAGGGCTTCGCCACGCGCTGCCTCGTGGGCCACTCGGAGATCGTGGTGCAGGGACTGTCTGGCGAGGATGTGCTGGCCGGCTGCAGCGCTTTGCTCAGCTAGAGCTCCCCCGCGCCGGCCTGGAGCAGGAGCTGGAGGCCGGAGTGGACGGGCGCTTCCGCTGCACCTGCTATGGCTCGGCGCCCATACACGGCTTTGCCATCTGGTTCCAAGTGACCTTCCCTGGAGGGGAGTTGGAGAAACCCCTGGTGCTGTCCACCTTGCCTTTTTACCCGGCCACGCACTGGAAACAGGCGCTCCTCTACCTGAACGAGCCGGTGCAAGTGGAGCAAGTCACAGACGTATCAGGAGAGATCACGCTACTGCCCTCCCGGGACAACCCCCGTCGCCTACGCGTGCTGCTGCGCTACAAAGTGGGAGACCAGGAGGAGAAGACCAAAGACTTTGCCATGGAGGACTGAGCATTGCCTTTTCTCTAAGCTACCTCCCAAGGCAGAGACAGGGAGATCCCACGTGCAAGGAGGGGAAAATATCCGTCTCCCCTTTCCTTCATAGCCTCTGGGGAGGGAGAGTGACTTCATTCTCCGTTTGAAGAGATTCTTCTGGTGATGTTTAAAAAGTGACCCTCTTCAACAACGGATACAGCGTGCTTATTATTGGGCTTTAAAGCCTCAAAAGCATATAGTACCAAGCACTTGTATTTCGGTATATTTTGTCTCGCAGGGGAGGGAAGGGGGAAGAACACGGATGAAAATATCATTTTTTGAAGGGTCCATGCACATCCCTGACATCTCACACCTCATCTAAGTCTGAAGCTGGGGAGAAAGGGTTCATTTAGACTTCATAAATTTACAATACGACTTTAGTATCTCTCCAGAGCCATATTTTCTCAGTCTGAATTAATTCCCCATTCCTAGGTGCCTGTGGGCTATGGCACTTCTTCCTCATTGTTTTCTAAATCAACTTTACTACTGGTAATGAAGGGGAAGGCTATGAGGAAGCAGTTTAAGTAGCCCCATTCTCATTACTCTTAATACACACACAGGGTGCTAAAGTTGAGGAACACATTAATCCATTAAGGAAAGTAGTCTTTGTAAAGCATACCTAAGAAACTCAGAAGGTGCATTTTTTTTTAGAAGAAAGAGACCAGCAAGAGAAATAGTATGGATTTTTAAAAATTCTTGTCTCTACTATTACAACCAAAGATATATATATATCGTGTATGTCCCATAAATATTTTTTTAATTTTTATAAAACAGGCTGGTAGACGAGTTTTCTAAGCCTAGCCCAAGGGCTTATTCATCACTATGGGTAAATTATTTAAACTCGATTAAGGACAATATTTTCCCAGCTAGAAAAAATGTACTCATTCTCATTTAACTCATTTGGAGGGATCATGTGAGTTGGCCTACTTAAAACTAGTGAAAGTTCCCTTTTTCTTCTCTCTCTGTTTTATGCAGCCAAATGTGAAAGTTGTGTTTTAGGAAAATCATTTGTAATAAAGTGTAAATCTTATTATCAAATTTATTTTGCTGTTTTCCTCCTTATCCTTGTACCAAATAAAACATTGACATTCTCACGTTTTGTAGATGAAAAAAAATATCAACCAGGATAGAGGGGAATGTAGACTTTCAGGAATGAATGTTACTGTACACATAACATCCCTGAGGGGTTGGGAAAAGGAGCAAACCAAAGTAATCTTGCAGGTGCTGCTTTGACTTACAATTGCAAGGCTAAAGGCCAAAGGAACTGGACTTCAGCACTGTGTTGCAATTTGTAAGTTTGTTTCTCATTGAGCTAGGGGCGGGGATGGGGGTGGGGAGGCTGTGACCAATTCTGAAATAGCTTTACATGCACCATGAGTAAGAAGGGGCAAATAAGTAAATGAAGAGTTGATAGTGGCGGGGGGGTCATGTTTTTCACTGCTGGAGAGAGAAGTTATAGATAAGCAAAGGCAGAAGGCTAGAAGGAACCCTGTGATACTGAATTTGAGTTAGAGAAATAAGTATGAACTCATATTTAACCACACATATATAAAAATTTAATAGATATGTGTATATACATGGGCTAATGCACATAGCTCCTAGCCTTGTGCTCTGAGAGGGCCTATTACAGGGTTACAGATAGTATAGGGCTGCCAGATCAACACAGGATGCATAAATAAATTTGAATTTCAGATAACAATAAACAAATAAGGTCTGCATGGATGAGAGTGTTGGGGAGGCCCAGGCCACCCCTTGGTCCTGCTGGTGCACTTTACTGGGGGCTTAAAACCACTCCAAGTGTTTGGGTGTGGAGGCTCACGCCTGTAATCCCAGCACTTTGAGAAACTGTGGCAGGATAACTGAACCCAGGTGTTTGAGACCAGTCTGGACAATGCAGCAAACCCCATCTCTAGAAAAGAGAAAAGGAAAAATTAGTCAGGCATTGTGGCACACACCTGTAGTCCTAGCTACTGGGGAGGCTGATGCGGGAGGATTGCTTGAGCCTAGCAGTTGGAGGCTGTAGTGATCCATGATGGAGCCAAGCAGGGGAGAAATATGGGGATGCACACATCCCTTCATCATCTCTACGCAGACACAGAACCATGCACAGCTCTTGGGAGGAGGAAGATGAGCTGCTCAAAGCCAGGGAGGGACCTGCACAGTGGCCAGCATGGCAGGGACGGTGCTTTAGCCAAGGCAGGGATGGCGGGAGACCTACTTGGGATCCTCAAGGAGGCTGCAGCGCTTCCATGTTCTTTCCAGATAACAGGGACGTATGGATGATGATGAGTGAGATGGACATACAGGCCATCACAGACACACTGAAACTCTACTTCCGTGAGCTGCCTGAGCCCCTCTTCACTGACAAGTTCTACCCAACTTTGATGAGGGCATCAGTGAGCACTGGAGGCCTTGGCGTCATAGGAGGCATCTCCTCCATATGCACTGCTATCGTTAGGGGATGTGGGAAGTGAGGTGTGAGAACCCAAGCTATGTCCTTTCTGCCATGGTCAGTGTTTTAACCAAGCTCAGAAAGCAGGGGCCACAGCTGAGGCTGTTGTGTAAGTCCTCGTCTGTCCCCAGAGTACTCCTTGTTCTATTCCTCAAGGAGACCAAGAGAGTAAAATGCTTATCACTGCTGTGCTGTGGAGTCCTAAAATCTGCTGTCTCCCTTCCAGCAGACCAGGGCTGAATGAGGGTCCCCAGGTGCTCTAGCCACGAGTCCTGGCCCAGTCAAGCACAGGACCAAACCTGGCCTGACCCCACGTCAACCTGGAGGCTGATGTCTAAGCAGGGCACTGGCATGTGTGGCCCTGTATCCTCTGCATGACCCTTAGGGCAGGCCTGCCTCCTGGCCCAAACCCAGAGGACCTGGTCTACCAGCCTGAGGTGCCCCTGCAGAGTCTGGGTGAAGAGAGGGTCTCTGCTTAGTTTGTGGGGCTGGGGCCACCCACCTCCCACCTCCTGGTGTCCCTTACTCCCCTTTTTCATTTTATGCTGAGCCTCCACTACTCTGGGCAGCCCTCGGGAGGGAGTGGCAGCCGCAGTTTCCCATGGGCAGCTCTGCCCATGAGCCACTGCTCTCATGCCACCTCCTGCTGCTGTTCTTCAGGTGCTGCTGGCCCTTGTGGGGCAGAGAAAAGGGATTCAGGTGGCTCATACCCCACACTGGCTCCCTTCACAGGGTCCTCACTGGGGCCCAGTGGTGTGGTAGTGAGGATGATGATGAGCCTAGGCTGTTCAGAAACATGTGTCCCGGGTGCTCCATGTCACCAACTCAGGAGAGGTCTCCAGCTCGTTGTGACCATGAGAAGTAATCCACTGCCTTCTGCAGTAATTTGAGACCCTGCTGAAAAGGAGAACTCCATGCGTAACCTGCCCTTGTCCTGGCTGGAGGCCAACCTGCTCACCTTCCTTTTCCTTCTGGACCACCTGAAAACATAGCTCAGCTCTCTCATGGCTGCCCAGGGAGGACTACAAAAACCCAGGCCACAGGGTGCCCCTCTGCTCACATCAGACCCCCACCACCGAGGACCTTTTCCCTCAACCCATTTACAGTCCCTCATTGCCTCTGGGAACCAGTGCCACTGCCATTCCCACCCCAGCCTCTCCTCTTTGCCCTGCTCCCCTCTCTGCACTGTGGCTTCACAAAGAGCTCAAAGCTTTGGCCATGGCCAGCAGTGCACTTGAATACCCCAACTCCCTCACTCCCCGACTGTGGAGGAGACCTTCCCACCAGCCCAGAGCTAACCCCTCATCCTGGGCCGCTGAGACCCACAAGTACCAGGGCTGGAACCAGCTTGCAGCACAGCCAGGGTTGAGGTTGCTCCCTCCCAGAGGACTCCAGCACGGCCCAGCCCCTCTGCCTCTTTCCTGGTGGTGGCGTAGAAACAGCACCCTCTGCTTCAGTCCTGCACAGAGTGGTAAGAAAAAAGGCAGTCAATAAAAGTCTTTGCACAACCTCGTCATGGTCTTTGGCCCCACACTGCTCCAGCCTCAGAGAAGGAGAGCAAGCTTTCTGCCAATCCCAGTGGCCCATCACCATGACTGACAGCTGGTCCTTGGAGGTCATGACCTATGTGTGGGAAGACAGGCTCCAACCAGCCCATGCCACCCCGACCTGACAGAGGTGGCCTCTGCCTGCTACACCCCCAGTCCTACCCTGCCCACCTTCCTACTTGCATTGTCTTTGGTGGTGCCTGAGATTCAGAGAGAGAAACTTGCCTAGGTCTGCATGGATGAGAGTGTTGGGGAGGCCCAGGCCACCTCTTGGTCCTGCTGGTGCACCTTACTGGGGGCTTAAAACCACCCCAAGTGTTTGGGTGTGGAGGCTCATGCCTATAATCCCAGCACTTTGAGAGACCACAGCAGGATAACTGAACCCAGGTGTTGGAGACCAGTCTGGATAATGCAGCAAACCCCATCTCTAGAAAAGAGAAAAGGAAAAATTAGTCCTAGCTACTGGGGAGGCTGACACGGGAGGATGGCTTGAGCCTAGCAGTTAGAGGCTGCAGTGATCCATGATGGAGCCACTGTACTCCAGTCTGGGTGACAGAGCAAGGCCCTGTGCACCTCTAAAGTAACCCCCCGAGTCATGCCTTGTCCACATCCACACCCCCACCTCCTGTCTCACTGTAAAGGCTTCATGGCAGCAGCAGAGGACCCAGCACCTGAGCCGGACTTGGGGGCTAAAGATCGCCATCTGTGAGCACCCTCTGAGCCTCTCTCCTCTTTCCCACTCTTTCTGGCAGGTCCAGGTGCTGCTGTACTTCCTGCAGCTGGAGGCCATCCCTGCCCCAGACAGTAAGAGACAGAGCATCCTGTTCTCAACCAAAGTCTTAAGGCCCCTGTTCATCTCCAGAAGGCAGATAGATATCTCTAAAACCTCTGGATAATCAGATCATTGTAGAGTGGGAACCAAACCTTCCTGAGGTGTCCTTGGGCCAGCCCTAAACATCAGGCCATCTTCCAAGGGACAGTGAGACAAAGCAGAAGGACAGGTGGCCTGGGGACAACCCGGCTAGGTCTGGAAGCCCCAGACTGGCCCTAAACTGTGGATTTTTATGCAGCCACCCAAGGGCACGCCAAGCAAATGTATCTCAGAGTCTGGGCCAGGTCCTGGGGGACAGAGTGAAGAGAGTGGTTTTAGGAACTTACATGTCTCCTGGATCACTTCTCAAGATGTGCCCTCTCCGGGGAGACTGGAATGTGACGGGATCCCCTCACTGTTGTATCTTGAATAAATGCTGCTGCTTCATCCTCTGGGGTCATGGCCCTGTCCCTGTATGGGAGGGTCATGGCCCTTGGTCATGGCCCTGTCCCTCTTCCATTCCCTGACTAGGAAACCACACTCCATTTAGAAAAGAAATGAGAGGCTAAGTCAGCACTGGGTAACATCTTGACTCCATTCATGGCTTTCTTTTTTCTTCTTTCCAGAAGGACTTTTGTGCAGAAATGAATCTTTTCTTGCTGTGTTTGTCCTTATTGGAAGGCAGCTCCAGGAGGCCTGTGAAATGTTGGGGGACTGGACCACAGGGGAGGGAGTCCCAGGCTGTGCACTTTAGGATTCCTCCTCCAGGGAGAGCAACCTCATCCCTGATCCTGACCGCCCTCCTGGCTCACGCGCTCCTGTTTGGCTTCCACAGGCCGGGACTTCTCTGGCTTCCCTCTGCCCACACTCTCCCTGCCTCAAGTGTCCCCAGCACAGGTGGCTTCATTTTTCTCTCAACTAAGGGAACTTGCTCAACTTCTGTAAAAGTCCCCACTTAGTGGTAGAAGCTTGCTCATGTCATGTTTTAAAACTTTGATTCAAATAAACTTTTAATACTTGAATATTTTAAGTTTTATACATAGTTCCTAATTTTTTTTCCTAACAGATTCAGATACCTAATAAGATCCTAGAATGGCACCATTTTGTCTTTCTCTAAGTGCCTGGCTCTGCTCTCTCAGGAGTGGGTTCTGAGGTCTCTGGACTACAGGATATTCAGAAGGTCAGGAAGAAGCCCGGCCTAGGGATGAGGGGCAGGGGGACAGCCTCCTTCCTCGAGAAGGCAGAGGCACAGCACCACCAGCCGCCCCTTCTGCCAGCACCTGTGTGGGAGCGCAGGCATCCTTTGTAACCCTGCATTACCAGCAGGCTGAAAGAAAGCAGAAGCGTGGAGGCTGCCACTTATTTTCAACAAATTAAACCATAAACAATTCCCTCACTTTTTCAGAAAAAGGAGGTTGCGCAAGGAGAGGAAAGAAGGGAGATGAAACCCAGAGCCGAGTTTCCAGATAATCCTGCAGGAGAAAAGGATGCAGTTGCCTAGAGGAGGGAAGAATGATCACATTTAGGAAAGTGTGTGGGGTCCTGGTTGACACCAACACCCAGTGCAGTTCTGTCCGGTGACCTCTGTACCAGACAAGGTGGGGAAGGTGAGTGTTCCCTGGATGTCTGTGGGCAGATCCTGCTGAGCATGCAGCATGTTGGGGAATCTGACACTGGAGCCATTCTCCTCCACTCCAGGCAATTCCAGGCAAGGGAAGGCAAGGCAAGACAAAACAATTCCAGGCAAGGCAATGCCAGGCAAGACAGTCCCAGACAAGGCAAGGCAACACAGGCAAGAGAAGGCAATGCCAGGCAAGGCAAGGCAAGGCCAGGCCAGGCCAGGCCGGGCAGGGCAGGACAGGGCAGGGCAGGGCAGGGCAGGGCAGGGCAGGGCAGGGCAGGGCAGGGCAAGGCAAGGCAAGGCAAGGCAAGGCAAGGCAAGGCAAGGCAAGGCAATTCCAGGCAAGGCAATTGCAGGAAAGGCAATTGCAGGAAAGGCAAGGCAGGGAAAGGAAATTTGAAGCAAGGCAATTCCAGGTAAAGCAAGGCAAGGTAATTCTAGGGAAGGTAACTCCAGGCAAGGCAAGGCAATTCTAGGGAAGGTAACTCCAGCCAAGGTAAGGCAAGGCAACAGAGGGCAAGGCAAGACTATTCCAGGCAAGGCAATTCCAGGCAATGCAAGGTAAGGCAAGGCAAAAAATTCCAGGCAGGGCAGGGTGAAGTGAGGTGAGGCCAATCCAGGCAAGTCAATTTCAGGCAAGGCAAGGCAATTCCAGGGAAGGTAATTCAAAGCAAGGCAAGGGAACACAATTCCAGGCAAGGCAACTCCAGGCAAGGCAAGACAATGCAATTCCAGGCAAGGGAAGGCAAAACAAGGCAATTCGAGGCAAGGCAAGCAAAGGCAACTCAAGGCAATTCCATGCAAGGCAAGGCAAGGCAATTTCAGGCAAGGCAAGCCAAGGCAAGGCAATTCCAGGCAAGGCAAGAAAAGGCAAGGCAATTTCAGGCAATTTCGGGCAAGAAAATTCCAGTCAAGCAAGGCAAGACAATGTAATTCCAGGCAAGGCAAGGCAGGACAATCCCAGTAAAGACAATTCCAGGCAAGGCAAGGCAAGGCAATTCCAGGCAAGACAAGGCAAGGTAATTTCAGGTTGGGAAATTCCAGGCAACTCAATTCCAGGAAATGCAAGGCAAGGCAAGGCAATGCAAGACAATTCCAGGCAAGGCAAGGCAAGGCAATTCCAGGCAAGGCAAGACAAGGCAAGGCAAGGCAATTTCAGGTTAGGAAATTCCAGGCAACTTAATTCCAGGCAACGCAAAGCAAGGCAAGGCAAGGCAAGGCAATGCAAGGCAATTCCAGGCAAGGAAAGGCAAGGCAAGGCAAGGGAAGGCAAGCAAGGCAATTCTGGGAAAGGCAATTCCAGGAAAGGAAATTTGAGGCAAGACAATTACAGGTAAGGCAAGGCAAGGTAATTCCAGGGAAGGTAATCCAGGCAAGGAAATTCCAGGCAAGGGAAGGCAATGGAGGGCAAGGCAATTCCAGGCAAGGCAATGCAAGGTAAGGCAAGGCAAAAAATTCCAGGCAAGGCAAGGCAAGGCCAATCCAGGCAAGTCAATATCAGGCAAGGCAAGGCAATTCCAGGGAAGGAAATTTAAGGCAAGGCAAAGGAACACAATTCCAGGCAAGGCAAATCCAGGCAAGGCAAGCAAGGCAATTCCAGGCAAGGCAATTCCAGGCAAGACAAGGCAAAGCAAGGCAATTCGAGGCAAGGCAAGGAAAGGCAACTCAAGGCAATTCCAGGCAAGGCAAGGCAGGGCAATTTCAGTAAAGACAATTCCAGGCAAAGCAAGGCAAGGCAATTCCAGACAAGGAAAGGAAAGGCAATTCAGGCTAGGAAACTCCAGGCAATGGAATTTCAGGCAATGCAAGGCAAAACAAGGCAATGCAAGGCAATTCCAGGCAAGGCAAGGCAAGGCAAGGGAAAGCAAGCAAAGCAATTCTGGGAATGGCAATTCCAGTCAAGGCAAGGCAAGACAAGGCAGAGAAAGGGAATTCCACACAAGGCAATTCCAGGTAAGGCAAGGGAAGGCAGTTCCAAGGAAGGCAAATCCAGGCAAGGCCAGGCAAGGCAATATCAGGCAAGGCAATTCCAGGCAAGGCAAGGCAATGCAGGGTAAGGCAATTCCAGGCAAGGGAAGGCAAGGCTATTCCAGGTAAGGCAATTCCAGGCAATGCAAGGCAAAGCAAGGCAAACAAATTCCAGCAAGGAAATTCCAGGCAAGGCAAGGAAAGGCAAGGAGAGGCAAGGTCATTCCAGGCAAGGCAATGCAATGCAATGCAATTCCAAGCAAGAAAATTCTAGGCAAGACAAGGCAAGGCAATCCCAGCCTGGGTAATTTCAGACAAGGAAAGAAAAGGCCATTCTAGGCAAGGCAAAACAAGGCAAAAAATGGCCATTCCAGGAAAGCCAATTTCAGGCAAGGCAAGGCAAGGCAATTCCAGGCAAAGCAAGGCAAGAAAAGGCAAGGCAATTCCAGACAAGGTAATTCCAGGAAAGGCAGGGCAATTCACCTGGAATTGCCTTGCCTAGAATTGCATTGCATTCCATTGCCTTGCCTTGCCTTGACTGGAACTGGGTTGCCTGGAATTGCCTTGACCTGCTTTAGCAGGAATTGCCTTGCCTGGAATTGCCTTTCCCTGCCTTTTCTTGCCTTGACTGGCCTGGAATACCATTCTGGCAATCGCCTTTCCTTGCTTTGCCTTGCCTTGTTTTGCCTGGAATTGCCTGGCCTAGAATTGCATTGTCTTCCTTACCTTGCCTTGCCTTGCTTTGCCTTGCCTTGTTTTGCCTGGAATTGCCTGGCCTAGAATTGCATTGTCTTCCGTACCTTGCCTTGCCTGGAATTCCCTTTCCTGAAATTGTCTTGCCTGGTATTTTCTTGCTTGGAATTGCATTACATTGCACTGCCTTGCCTTGCCTAAAATTGCCTTGCCTGTAATGACCTTGCCTCTCCTCGCCTTTCCTTTCCTTGTCTAAATTTACCTTGTCTGGAATTGCCTTGTCTTGCCTGGAATTTCCTTGCTTGAAATTTTTTGCCTTGCCTTGCCTTGCATTGCCTAGATTTGCCTTGCCTGGAATAGATTTTCCTTCCCTTGCCTGTAATTGCCTTACCCTGCATTGCCTTGCTTTTCTTGGAATTGCCTTGCCTGATATTGCCTTTCTCTGCCTTGACTTGCCTTGCCTACCCTGGAATTACCTTTCCTGCAATTGCCTAGCCTGGAATTGCCTTGCCTTGCCTTGCCTTGTCTTGTTTTGCCTTGCCTGGAATTGCTTTGAATTGCATTGCAGTGCCTAGAATTGAAATGCCTGGAATTGCCTTGCCTTGCCTCAGTGGGAATTGCCTTGCCTGGAATTGCATTGCATTACCTTGCTTCTCCTTGGCTGGAATTGCCCTGCCTTGCCTTCCCTGGAATAGCCTTGCCTGGAATTGCCTTCTCTTGCCTTGCCTTAACAGGTATTTCCTTGTTTCAAGTTGCCTTGGCTTGCCTTTCCTCACCTGGAATTGCCTTGCCTAGAATTTGCTTGCCATGTGTTGTGTTGCTTTGCCTTGACTGAAATTGCCTTGTCTGAAATTGCCTTGCCTTGCCTCAGTGGGAGTTGCCTTGCCTGGAATTTTCTTTCCCTGCCTTTTCTTGCCTGGCCTGGCTTGGAATTGCCTTTCTGGCAAGTGCCTTGCTGTACATTGCCTGGAATTGCCTTGCCTTTCATTGTCTTGCCTTGCCTGGAATTGCCTGGTCTAGAATTGCCTTGCCTTGCATGGAATTGCCTTTCCTTTCCTTTCCTTTCCTGGAATTGCCTTGTCTGGAATTACCTTGTTTGTCTTGCCTTGCCTGAAATCGTCTTGCCTGGAATTGCCCTTTTTTGCCTTGCCTCACCTTGCCTCGAATTGTCTGCTTGAAATTTCCCTGC